CTCTCTCTCTCTCTCTCTCTCTCTCTCTCTCTCTCTCTCCCTCTCCCCCTCCCCCGCTAGATCAGAACCTCAGCGGGTTTCAGTGGTTAGGCCGGGCACAGACCTCCAGTGTGTATGCGTGCTTGTGAGAAAGAGGAGAGGGGGAGGGGCTGTAGTGTGTGTGTGTGTGTGTGCGCGCACGCGTCTGCATGTGTGTGTGCTGTTTCTTCGCTCTGTGTTAAAACAGGTCAAAATCATTGACCCGTGAAAGACACGCCACTGAATGACCCACTTCGAGGACACACTCTCACACAGTTTACGTTTTTTCCGACAGGTGTGCGCAGGGAACTTTTCTTAGGTGTCCCAAAAGGGTATTTTTGGAGTTTGCCGCGGCTTCCTGCTTCAATGAACGTTCTAAAATCAAAAACAAATCACTGTTTGTGAACTATGGGCTTCGTTACTACACTAAAACGTTTGCTTTGAGCTTCACTTTCCACAATTATGGCAAAGGTGAGGGGTAATCAGGTAAGAGAGTGTGTCTTGATCACCTGTTAACTCTTCATAATATGCTTTGATTTGTTACAAATAACGAGACTTATTGCTGAACGTACGGTGCCTGGGTAGTGGAAGTGGTACAGAAAGAGTAAATTATACATGTGATGCTCAGAGCTATTGCTATTGTATTATTGATTCCCCTCCCTCCCCCCTTCCCCCTTTCCCCCCCTATTACATAACGTTGTGGTCGACACAGGTCGTGTGTGACTCCAACCACTGTTAAGTACATAGGCCAAACGCGAGGCCAAAATAGTGTAGAGGATTCGGAAGGGAGGGAAGGGGGGTGGGAGAGGTAGAGTTGGAGTCAGAGTCAGAAACACATGTACCATGAATAGAGTATTTGTGTCGATAGATTTTGATTAATCCACGGGAGGAAAACTAGTTTGCATACATCTTTGCCAGTAAGATTTTGGTGTTATTTAGATTGGGAGAGTTGATTGGCGCTTCTGATAATAACACAGTTGTCGAGCAATTTAAATGAACATGAAACAATAAGAATCTTATATGTGCTCTCTGTATAGTAATGAACCGCCTGGTTAGATGCCACTGGTCTGAATGTTATAGTAATAGTCATTGCTACGTCACAAGAAACACAAATATGAATAGTGTAAAAACGAACAAAACAACTTACTGAAGAAATTTAGATGACACAGAAATAAGACTTTCCAGCTTCTCAGATCACAACTGGGCTTGGCTATTTTAGTCAGTTACTTGTAAAATTGTAGACTTTTGTCGTAAAAGAAAATAACTACTGTTTGTTATAATTAGACATTGTACAATAATAAAAAGATAATGTCCAGCCCTGGAAAGTGTAACAACCAACATAGCAACTTGCAAAGGAAATTTGGATGACGCTGAAATAGAGCTATTACGGCTCTTTAGATCACAACTAGACTTGGCAAGAGTCTAATAAGGGCAGAGTTGCTTGTAGAGTAGATACGAGTCGTAAAACAAAATTTACTGTCGTTTGTTACAACTTTATATGCTAAAAAACAAATAGATTTTGCCCAACACTGAGAGCATATGTCAGTTTACATGGTATGTCCTGTAATGGTTTCTCAGGTGAATAGCAGCTATTGTGAACTTTTATTAGGCCATCAACCCCCCCCCCCCAAAAAAGGCAGAAGTAGAATGTGGAGGGAGGTGGATCGTTTCCCCTCTGTCTGTTTCGTCTATTGTTACCTTTTCGGGTGTTGCATAACGTGCTCCGTCGCTGGTATTTCTTTCTCCTATTTTGAGACTGGTCTGGCCTTCCCTCTTCCTATGTCTCCGGTTTTCCATCTTCGCTCTCCAGATTTTATAACCGATCTATCAATGTAACATTTGATATAACCTCCTAGTCTGAATACAATCTTATGATACAAAAAAAATGTGCCCCCATAAGGGACAGCACGGAAGGAAATAAACTCGTTACTCTGGCATCTGCAATCACAGAAAGAGGGTAAAATAAATAATTTTTCTTAACAAAACACTTGTTTAGATTACAGTTATACAAACATTTTCAGATTTAGAAAATTAGCCCATGCTAGCTCTGACCAAATGTATAGAACTACGTTTTTTAATAATTTCTTCAACCGAGGTTTCACGTTTGTTTCTATTTTATTGCATCGCGACTAACCGTGGAAGTGCCATTTATTGTATAAGCTTGTGTTCGAGACAGGCGCTCCGTTCTCTCAGTTGGCATCTAGTCGGACTACGGAGCGGGTGGCCTTGGATCGAATCCAAAACTGGGTTTTCTTGAACTCGGGTCGTTTCAAGTAGTTTTCAGGGCTCTCAACCAATTTCACTTGATCCTTTCGGAAATTGTCCTTACATTTGGATGCCCAACCTTTAAGATAACATAATAGATACGTTAAGTGGTTCTGTCCACGAGTGTCTCTGGGGAAACGGCCCTGCTCTTTAGATTGCACGCAAAAGGCTCGAGTTTGATTTCTTAGCGTGAAAGATTTAATTTATAGGTTGTTGTTTTTAATTTGTTAGACTGCATACGGTCATATGAGCGCGCGGGACACATTAAACATTTTAAGTTTTGTTAGGAATTAACTTTGACTGTTTATTTATTTTTTATTTATATATTTTATTCTTCATTGTTTTTTGGTAAGTGTTTTATGGCGCTCGCAACTGCAAAAGGCCATATGACTGCGCGGGACACATTAAACATTTTTAGTTGGTATTAAGTTTTGAATTTTTACCCAGGTGACGGCAAAGGCCTACTCTTATTGATTTTGGACCACTAAAGGGAATTTTAATGTACGGAACTTGCACACGGAACCTTCGAGATCTTTCGACCAATAGAGGGTTAGGTGTTATATTTTACCTACCCTAAGATCAGGGGTGGGGCTGAAAGACAGCAGTGAGGAGCCAGGGAGCAACAGTAGAGAGGCTGCAGAAAGAGTCAAGAACCCAGAGGAGGGGGCAAAGAAGAGTTTGGGGTTGGAGCGTGGGGGCAGATAGTGGGGATGATAGCAGACGACAAAACTTGGTTAGAGAGCAGGAAAGAGGATTGAAGGAGACAATTTTGGAGAAGAAAAGTTTCCTTCGCTGTCAGGTTTCGAACCCGAGACCTGTTCAATGAACGGCAAACACCATAACCTCTAGACCACAATGAGCCTCCTAATTCATAGAATATCTCCATATTTCTATGATAGCATACAGTATACAGGAGCTGGTGTTGATTTAATAGCTAGTAATTGCACTGCCTTTCTCTGCGAGTACGAGGATGTCAAATTCCAACGATTCTTCTATCTCCTCCGTAAGTTGGAGAATATTTTGGCGGAAAAGGTGAAATTTTCGGTACACTTTTGCATTACTGAACCTCACAAAAGAGTGTGTTCTATCCATAGATGTACACTATAAAAAGAGATAACTCTATACTCTATGGTTCTATCTCTGAAGAGGAAGATTTCTCCGCTGCCTACGTCGTTGTTTTGGCATTTAGACCCAGACTACGCTTGCTACGCCTGCTAGATCGCGGGTGTCAATTTTACCCGTTTAGTCCCTCGTTTAGTCCTTGACTTCGCACAGTCGGGCTCCATGAATAGCTTACAACGCTTTTTATTCCAAAACAACTAAAATGTGAGGCAGCGTGGTGGAATCAAGCTCTCGTCAAAATAATCAAATTGAAGAAATATGCATTTTTCCGCAAGTTTGTGAATTTTTATCAAATTTTTTGTTTTTTGGCTGAACACCTTTCATGCCCTTTAAAAAACTCATTTCTGTGTGGATTTTTCTGAAAAACGTTGATTAAAGGCACAAAAAATGTAAATGTTCAGTTACCACGTACTCTTAATCTAAGGAAATAACTAATATTTGGCCGCCATTTTCTCACTAATTTTACCTCTGAAAACAGGTGGCCGCCACCTCCTTTATTTGCAAATATCTCGACTTGTATTTAAGATAAATGGATATTTTTTTCATCCAAATAAAAACAAGTGAACAATCTTTAAGATGATACCAATAACTCTACATGCCTCAAAATTGACGAGATCCTGATTCCACCAAGCTGCCACACAAATAGTCTCGGACTTCCGTCAAAGTCCCGGTCCATGAATCAGATCCCTGTAGACCACGAGAGCCCCCGGGGGAGGATGTTGGGAGGGGGGTACAAACGTTGAATATGGAGACGGGGACAGTATTGCTATAGCTTGTTCACTTTCGTCTGTCTGCGTAAAGTGTGTTTGTTTGTTTGGTTGGTTGTTTGGTTGGTTGTATGTTGTTTTCTCTTCATCTTTGTTAACCATTCAATTTGAAATTTTAGCTAATGTAGAGTACGCTTTCCTTATATTCGGTCATAATCCAGATTTGAAATAAGGAAACGCTAAAATTGAGCATTTCTGTCTTCTTCACTTGCTTGTAAAAGAGCTTGGATGTGTCAATGGAAACTTTGGCTATGGCTTTTTCTGTTACTGCCTGTTGTAATCTTTCTTGAAAATCGAATTGTGGTTTGCAGTATTCGTTTTCAACTTTCCTCATAACAGTTCTTTCAGTTTGAAATCGCCGTGGAAAGGAGGAAGATTTTACCCTAAGCAACAGTAACAGCGGGTCACAACGACAAAAAGCCTTAGGACACTTTAATTTAGAATAACACAGATCTTTTGAATGAGAGTGTTCTTCTTTTATAAGGCCTAAATGACAATGTTTTGATTTCATTCCTACAACCGTCCTTTAATCATAGGGTACCGCATAGAAGCAAAGCCTATAATTGTATTCAGCCTTTTCAAAAGCCGGCTTAATTATAGTCTTCTCTATGCAGAATGCTTTGGAAATGGAAATCAAGTTACTGAGCGTAAAGAAAATTGTTATGGAAAGATAATATATGACGCGCAAATAATATTGTTTGGGTGTTCGTGTATGTGTGTGTGTGTGTGTGTGTGTGCGTGTGTGTGCGCACGTGTGTGTGTGGTTTGTATATATATTTGTGTGTATATGAGAAAGAGACAGAGACAGAGAGAGGCAAAGAGACAGAGAGAGAGAAGAAAATAGAAAGAGAGAGAGAGAGAGAGAGAGAGAGAGAGAGAGAGAGAGAGAGAGAGAGAGAGAGAGAGAGAGAGAGAGAGAGAAAGAGAAAAAGGGGGGGGGGGAGTTTACAATAATCTTGGAATAATATTGCGTCTCGCCCCTGCAGGTGGGGGCTCCATAGTTTTTCTATGGGGGAGCAAAGAATACACCTGCCGTGATACTGCGTGTCGTAAGAGGCGACTAAAAGTGCAAAGGTCTGGTCGCCCGAAAAGTGCCAGTTTGCGGAGGGCCAACTACCCAACCCAGTAAAAAACAGTAAGTTACAGAAACACGGACAAACACGGCTTTTTATTTTTCGATCTTGGGAGATGGAGGAGCTTGTGCATCAGCAAGAACAATGAAGGACAGCGGACAAAGCCGAAAGGACTCTTGTGACCCGAAACCTTCTCTGTCGAACAAGTCTCTCCCGATTGCGTTGTGGAATGCTCGCACCTTATATGAAGCAGGAAAGAGTTCTCAAGTAGTACAAGAGATGAAGAGGTACAGGCTGCACATACTAGGAGTCAGCGAAACACACTGGATACAGTCTGGACAGAAGCAGCTCAGCTCGGGGGAACAAGTATTGTATTCTGGGAGGGAAGACAAGTACCATGCGGAAGGAGTGGGAATCATTTTGAGTAAGTATGCACAGAACTCACTTAGAGGATGGGAACCACACGGGAAAGGATCGCCATGGCTTCATTCACTACAAAGAGCAAGAGCATCAACATGAATATAGTCCACATCTACGCTCCAACAAATGATGCTTCGGATGAAGACAAGGATACCTTTTACAGTCAGCTCCTGGGGGTCATCGACAAACTACCAAGGAAGGATGTCAACATCATAATGGGAGATGCCAATGCCAAGATTGGTCAAGACAACGTGGGGTATGAGAGAATTATGGGACAACATGGCTTGGGACAAATGAATGAGAACGGTGAGCGATTCGCAAATATATGTGCTTTCAACAGTTTTGTCCTTGGAGGCTCTGTTTTCCCCCACAAGAGGATTCACAAGGCCGCATGGGTTTCGCCAGATGGAGTGACGGAGAACCAGATAGATCATTTTTGTATCTCTCGTAGGTTCAGGCGTTCACTGGAAGATGTCAAAGTACAGAGAGGGGCAGATGTTGGATCGGATCATCGTCTGCTGTTGGCAAAACTCAAACTTCGACTCAAAAACCACGGAACTAGCACAGGAATCAAAAGAACGAAGTTCCAAGTCAGTCTCTTGGACAGACACAAGAAAGAAGAGTTTCAGCTGCAACTGAGGAACAGATTTCAACCTCTGGCTGATCTTGGCGGAGAGGACACGGAGGTGGATACACACTGGACCAAGGTCCAAGAAGTCTTTAAATCAACATGTCAAGAAGTACTCGGTGTGAAGAAATCGGAGCACAAGAAATGGATTAGCCAACACTAGTGCGTCGGATTTAATTAGGATAGGAAGACAGCTGAAGGCAGAAGTGAATGCAAGTAGAACAAGAGGATCAAGAGCGGGTGCATTGGAGCAGTACAGGACAACAGCTAAAGATGTCAAGAAATCACTAAGAAAAGACAAGGTGGAATTCATTTACAGGATGGCAGAGAAGGCAAAGGAAGCAGCGGTAGGAGGGCACATGCGAATCCTTTACGAGACCACAAGGACACCTGATGGAAAATACGGGAAACCTGAAGCACCAGTAAAGGACCAAGAGGGGAAAACCATTTTTTTGGAAAGGAAGCTCAGTCTAAACGATGGGTAGAGCATTTCAACAGTCTCCTGAACAGACCACCACCGAGTTACCCACCAAACATCCTGCCAGCAAGAAAAGAGTTACCAATCTGCTGTGATGCTCATTCAAAAAAAAGAGATTCTGGGTGTCATTAAGAAGTTGAACAAAGATAAAACCGCCGGTCCTGACCAAATTCCACCTGAGGCTCTAAAAGCAGATGTCAATGTGACGGCAGACATCCTCCTCCCACTGTTTACCAGGATCTGGAATGAGAGCAAGTTCCCAAAGGATTGGAAAGAAGGACACCTCGTGAAGCTTCCAAAAAAGGGGGATCTCAGCAACTGCAGCAACTACAGAGGGATTACTCTGCTCTCAATATCAGGTAAGGTCTTCAACAGAATCATTCTGGGGAGAATCAGGACTGCAACGGATCCAAGACTACGGGATGAACAGGCTGGTTTCCGGAAAAATCGCTCAACCACCGACCAGATTGCCACGCTGAGGATTATTGTGGAACAGTCCCTGGAGTGGAACTCCCAGCTGATCGTCAACTTTCTTGACTATGAGAACGCCTTTGACAGAATAGACCGAGCAACACTATGGAAGATTATGAGACACCACGGAATCCCACAGAAGTTGGTGAACCTCATCAAGAGCATGTACGAAGGGACAAGTTGCAGGGTTGTACATGATGGCTTTGACATCAAGACTGGAGTGAGGCAGGGATGTCTACTATCACCGTTCCTCTTCATATTGGCAGTCGACTGGCTGAAGAAGGAAACCACCAGAGGACACAGAAATGGTATACAGTGGACACCATGGACACAGTATGACGATCTGGATTTTGCAGACGACTGAGCGCTTCTGTCGCACACCCAGGAACAGAAGCAAGCAAAGACTTCAGTATTAAACAGCCTATCAGAGTCTGTTGGATTGAGGATCCACCCCGGAAAGTCAAAGGTCCTAAGGACAGATTCATTACGAAAGGAGCAGGTCACAATAGAAGGAAAGGCACTAGAAAATGTTGATTCCTTCTGTTATCTTGGTAGTATAATTGACAGAAAGGGAGGAACAGGTGCTGAAATAAAGTCCCGCTTTGGAAAAGCACAGGCTGCTTTCATATCTTTGGGTAGGATTTGGAATACCAGAGATGTTTCACTTCGAACAAAGCCCAGGATTTTCAATTCAAATGCGGAGTCAGTCCTGGTGTATGGATGTGAGACATGGAACGCATCACAGACTTGCATAAAGAGGATCCAGTTTTTCTTGAACAGGTGTCTAAGAAAGTTACTGAGGATCAGATGGACAGACAGGGTCACCAGTGTGAAAGTGTTAAGGAAAACAAAACAAATCCCAGTTAGAGAGGAGGTAGGACGAAGGCGGTGGCGATGGATTGGACATACTCTCAGGAAATCAGGCAACTGCATAACAAAGAAAGTTTTGGATTGGAACCCACAGGGTAAGAGATCAAGGGGAAGACGGCGTGGAACCTGGAGAAGAATCACAGAAATCGATGTACAGAAAAGTGGGAAGACATGGAATAACATCAAGAGGCTTGCCCAGGATAGAGAAAGTTGGAAGGCGTTTGTCCGTGGCATATACCCTGGTGCAGGGTGAGAAAGGCAATGATGATGATGAATATTGCGTCTGATCAGATGAAAAAAGTGACAAAATTGCCTTATTTTGGCACGGACATCACCCTGAAAAAAGGGTAAAGATTCCGGGAAAAAGTTCAAGTACGCAAACTGAAAAAGGCTTCAGAGAAGCAAAAATAGTTGGGCGTGGGGAATAAAAAGCACACTATATTGCGTGCTATTCCGGGATACATATTATTGAAAATTGAAACATTCTGAGTGAACGACCCGAACTTCAAACTGTCCAACGGAAGAATTTGTAGTAGCTGGAAATTATCATTCGAATTCATATCCTGATTAGAAGAAACACTAACCACTCTATCAAGGACCACACGCCTCGTGTGGGGCTTGCAACCAAAATAAAAGCTTGAGGCACCAAGAAATTGCACCATTAAAATTTTTTCTTCACCTGTATGCTCACAGATGTCTATGTCCTCACGCCCTCTCACAGAATCCTCTCTCTCTCTCTCTCTCTCTCTCTCTCTCTCTCTCTCTCT